ACGGCCCACTCCCCTCCCCCATCGGTCAACGCCCACCCCATGCAAACCCGCTCCAAGGCCGGTGTTTTCTACCCAAAACAAATATTGGACCTCCACACCACTATCTCCATCTCCCCCTTACCCCAACTTACCGTAGTGCTATGAAAGATCCAAACTGGCATGCTGCTATGTGTGATGAATATAATGTTTTGTTAAAGAAAGACACATGGGAACTAGTACCCCCCCTCCCCCAACCAAAACATAATCACAGGTAAATGGCTCTTCAGACACAAATTTGGCCCGTCCGGTGAGTTATCTAGGTATAAGGCCCGAAGGCCCGATGGGTGGTCCGCGAATTCAATCAGCGTTTTGGCGTTGACTACAACGAAACTTTCAGCCCCGTCATCAAGCCTGCCACGGTCCGAATCGTCCTTAGCCTCGCGTTGTCTCGTGGGTGGCCCATCCATCAGCTAGATGTCAAAAATGTCTTCCTCCATGGACAACTTCAGGAAACCGTGTATGCCAACCAGCCCTCAGGATTTCAGGACGCAAATCGCCCTCATCATGTTTGCCGGCTAAAGAAAGCTCTTTATGGTCTGAAGCAGGCACCCCAGTCATGGTATCACATACTTGCAGGTTTCATTCAGACTATTGGATTTCACAGCTGCAAATCTGACACATCTCTTTTCATCTTCACGCATGCATCGGGGACCACCTACCTCTTATTATATGTTGATGATATCGTACTCACTGCCTCCTCGCCAGGACTTCTTCAGAGTCTCATTCAGAAACTCAAGGTTGAGTTTGCCATGACAGACATGGGTGATCTGCACTTTTTCCTTGGCATTAATGTTCATCGCACTGCTCAGGGCCTCTTCCTTCATCAGACACAGTTCACTCACAACATCCTTGAGAGGGCAGGGATGTTCTCCTGTCGCCCAATATCCACTCCAGTCGACACAAAGACAAAGCTTTCTTCCTCCTCTGGCACGACTCTTCCACATCCTTCTCTTTACAGGTCCATAGTTGGTGCTCTACAGTATCTCACATTCACCCAACCTGATATCACTTATGTCGTTCAGCAGCTCTGCCTTCACCTTCATGCACCCCGCGACTCTCACCTCACGGCCATGAAGCGTGTTCTCCGTTATCTTAGCGGCACCGCCACTCACGTCATCTACCTGACTCGCTCTTCGACAGACTCTCTCCAGGCTTATTCTGATGCTGATTGGGCTGGCTGTCCTGACACCAGACGTTCTACTTCCGGGTACTGTATTTTTCTGGGTGACAACCTGATTTCCTGGTCTTCAAAACGCCAGGCCACCACTTCCCGCTCCAGTGCAGAGGCAGAATATCGAGCTGTGGCAAATGCAGTTGCTGAGACATCTTGGGTCCGAAATCTTCTTTTTGAGCTCCAGCAACCTCTAGTTGGCTTAAAGGAAACTATGTACATCAACCGATTGAGGTGGAGATAGACAGTATGATGTTTTTTTGAACGTGGCATAACAACATGGAAAATATAGTTCGCACTTCATGGGTATTATTTCTAATTTTTGGGAAAAAGACTAAAGTAGGAGTAAAACATTGAAAATATATTAAAATAGGAGTTTCATGTTTTTATTCTCAAAAAAGAAGTTAAAATACATTTACTTTACCAATCATGACCATGTACATTTCGTAAAATGCACATGTACATTACCACAGTGTGAACTGTTATTTAGAAAATAAAAACATAGAACTTCTATTTTGGTACTTTCTCTATTTTTAGTCATATTTAGAATGATTTCTTCTAATTATTTATGTTTAACAGTAGAGTTTATTCAGTCCTCGTGGCTAGTAGTTATTCGAAGGTCAACGAATTAGATGGCTCATTTCACGCTGGGACGTGTGATTCGATCTTTGTCTAATTATCCGAAGTGAGTTTCTAACCCTCCACAGAATATTTGTAACGGTTTGCACAATGATGTATTGAATTAATGGCAAGTTACTTTTAAAAAAAGCTATTATAATATTTTATTTTGAATTTTAAGAAATTATTTTTATTGATGCAATAATATTATATTTCATCTATTCCAGAGTATTCGTTTAGTTTGACTTTTTCAAGTCAAACTAATGATTTTTAATCATCAATTACTCTCAATTTGTATTACTAATATATATTAATTCGACGCAATGAAATTTTAAAAGTTCTCAACAAGTTAAATCTAATAAAATCTTTTTTATACTAATATGCATTACTATTTTTATTTAATTGATGTTAAAAGTTCGCCTAATTTGAGTTTAAAAAGTCAAATGAAATAAATACACTGGGACGAAGATACTAAATAATATAAAAAATTTATAAGTACGATTTTTAAAAAAGGTAAGATAAAAATACAGAGTACAGTATTATGAAAAAAATTATTTGAAATAGGAAGTTTCAACATTAAAAAAGATTAATGAGAAGAGAAATAGTATTATAAAATTACTTTTAATTATCACATTATATAGTAAAGTATATTATTTTGAAAAAAATCTTACATTGGTGGGTTAATTAATTGGTTAGGTTGGATTCGAGTTTAATTTAATTTGATTAATTTTTAGTGGGTCTTTTCAGGTTTGGTCATCTTCCAGTTCCATTGGCAAAATATTATCTTTGTTCAAAAGATAATATTTTTATGTCGGGTCTTAAGTAAAAAATAAGCTTGGTTAAATTTTGTCAGTTCTACTCAAATTCAATGCCAAAAAAATGTGATCAAAGTAAATACCAACAACTTAAGGTGTATCCTTTAGAGTGCTTCCATGATTATAAGATTCACATTTCATCTCACACTTTTCAAGGGCCGACAAGAGGGTCTTTTCTTTTTGGCAAAAAATCCAATTTTTTCATGGTGTTTATATATTAAGGGTCTGTTTCGCAGAACTTATTTTTTCTACTTATTACTTATTTTTTTTAAAACCAGATCAGATCAGATCCAATCAGATCACATTAGATTCAATCAGATCAGATCATATCCAATCAGATCAAACCAGATCCAATCAGATCAAATCAGATCAAATCAGACCAAATCAAATCCAATCAGATCAAATAATATCAAATCAAGAAAAAACATAAAAATAATATTTATATTTTTCAAAGATTAAATAATAATTACTACGGAGTAATATTTGATTAAATCACATTACTTTATTAAAGCTACACACACCTAAATCTTAATTAATATTATAATATTATTATTATTATTATTGTTATATTATAATAATTATATTTCACTAATTCTTTTCACTATATAATTATTATTGTTATATTATTATGAAAAATGACTATTAGTGAAAAGCATTAGTGAAAAAAATTACTACGAAAGGAATTTTTGATAATAGAAGGCAAAATATGGAAATCTCATATTATAAAAGACTAATTATGGAATTTACTCTTTATTTTAATTTTCTAATAGTTATATAATATGTGTTATATAAATATTTTTTAACTATAAGTTATGGAAATCCCACTTAAAGACTACTAATATTATTTAAATATCCTACTTCACCATCCATAACACAATTGTGCATTTAACAAAGCACACAAATTAATAAACATATATAGAATGTTATAGCAAATGATTTTTCATTTATAGTTTTTTTACCTAGAAATATTATTCGAAACCAATTCATTGAAACCAGTAAAATACATGTATAAAGATAGATACAAAACTGCATGTAACACATCCACAAGCTCCTTGTTGGACACTATTGAAATTGTGCCTTTGTTGTTTCGAGATTCTTTGTCAATGTTCGTCTGGTAACCTGTCTAAAAGAAAATTAATGCCCATTTAAATTACAGAGTAATCTAACAATTAACCAAACAATAATATTGTTTTAAAAAATGAGTATTTAAAAGAATAAATTCATCAAATTTTAAATAAATCTTTATTTTATTATATTGTCTGTTGAGGATGAATATGGAACTCACAAAAGTTTCAATCTAAGTAGAGGTAGGTGTTGAGGTCGTGACACGTGGCAACATTTATTGCTGATCTGGCCATGACTTTCGCATGTGGCAGGCGACGATCCTTGCTGCTAAGCCTAAGTTCTTTTCCCACCTCAGCATATGCCGCATATTTGGTGTATTTCTGTAGCCACGCTGGCACTCCCAACCCTGCCATGTCATCAAACACAAACCCCGGGACTTTAGTGATGGGGTCGTCATGATTGACGATTCTCAGTACCTTCGCATCACTGGCTTCTACTTCTCGTCTAAAGTCATCGTTCCCGACTCTCGGTCCTCCAAAAGACACCGCCGTCACTAGCGGCACCGCTGCCTCGTGACCACTAAATTGTGTCATGATGTCGTATGCCGTTAGGGTTGCTAGGGCACCTCTAAGGCTGTTCCCGGTGATTGTGATGCTCAGAGCCGGCTCCCCTTTGCCACCATACCCTTTGACGATTTCTCGTATCTCTTCCCTAATTGTATCTTGTAAGCTCTGACGACCATCGCAGCCGCTTGTGTACAAACTTAAAAGCCCCTGTTGCACCATTGGCTGGCGGTGGTCGCCAGAACAATCGGGTAGTGTGGTGGCCATGTCAACAGATAAGGGGGTCAAGATGACACGCAGGTTCTCGAGCCACTCCCTTGCGGTGGCAGTTCCTCGAAAAGCAATGACAACGCGACGATGACCTAATCGAGATATTTCCTTCGCGTCATCGCATACTGCCATGTAGCCAATCCAGCTAGACTCTGGGGATGACGCTAAATTCAGAATCCTCTCTATCCAACGTGGAACACTAGTTGTACACGTGGCATACAAGTTCTTTGTCACTCTGTACCTGCTCAGCTCCAACATATATACAAGTGAAAGATGCATGTTATCAAAAACTAAAAGTGGTGCTAGCCTAACTTAATTATCATCATTAATAGTTAGTGAAAAATAAAAGAAAGACTAAATTTCATACATGATCTCTTATAACAGATGATATTTCATATTTAGTCCTTAATTTTAAGATATTATATTTGTGGTCTTCAATTTTTATTTTGGAATTAGAGACTAGCTATGAAAAACTACCAGTTACAAGAGATTATTTATTGAATTTACTCTAAAAAATGAAAGTGAAAAAGTGTATATATCAAAATTCGTCAAGGATTTTTTGACATTGAATTTTAATATCATATTATGATACGTGACATCAATTCAACTGGATCACATACGGTCATTTGATCAAAAAATTGATGGTTCCTATGATTAATTTCCCTCGATAAAGCACCCAAGTCTATCCCGACCCTAACGCGCCATTGCACCTCTGCCAATTGGGCCTCCCAAAAATTGTTGACTTTCAAATTTAAATTTTGACCCCAAAATCAACAAAATTTAGGTGGTATCATCAAAATTCTCCACACCAATTAATTTACTCATGTTGACTTCATTAAGATTTAGCTAGAATAGCGTAAAAGAGTGAAAAGTAAGTTGTTCAGAAAACTTATGTGGGATGGAGACAATTATTCAAGAAAGCATTTAACTCATACCGGTGGTTCCCAAGCCCGCATTGGGCCAACATCGAATCTATATCATTGCGACACGTGGCATACGTTGGGGACGACATGTCAAAGTCGAAGCAACGGTATGCTGCCTCGACGAAGCGGGCGTAGCTCAATATTTGCGCGCGAAGAGTGTCGTCTAAGGGGTCGATTAAGCCTTCCCAGTTCTTGACGCCCTGGCATTCCATCCACCTTTTTCTACTCTCCTCGACAGCGATGCCTTGTATTGTCGTCGCCGTCGTGTTATTCCCGAACATAGCAAAGCTTTTCGCATTGCTAGCGCTCGAAGCGGTGAAGTGCAAGGATGATTGGGGCCGGTGGGATGTTGTGGCACAACATTGTGCCATCTTTCCCATTGTGATGTGGTTTGATGAAAAATGTAGCATTATATTATTGTGTACGAATGTAGCGGTTATATTGTGTACAACAAATAAAATGAATTTTAATTGAGTTTAGTTTTGGTTTATGTGTGGAGTATTAATTATCTCAAGGGAAATGAATGACATTTGGTCACTACTATCTTTGAAGGCATATCTGCTTATATAGTAGTAATAGTACTCCGTGCCTCTTTAACTCTAATTGGATGCCAAATTAAAGTTGATCACAACGTACAGCTGCAGTGTTTTTTTTCCTGTTAATTTAAAAATGGGCAAACTTTAATTAAGGGGTTCATTTTTTTCAACTCTTTTGAAATCAAAATACATATATATATTCCCTCTCTTAAAAGTTAAAACTAAAGTGTCATTAATTTGTATGAGTACTATTTAGAATTCAAAAAAAAAACAATTCTCTCTCCACTGAATTTTGTTAATTAATAACAAAGTATTTGTTTTAAAATAATATGCTACCTCCGTCCCTGAGTATTTTTCTAGTTTTGACTTTTTTTGATCAATCATTTTCAACCTTTGACTTATAATTAAATAAAATATATATTGTGTTTTAATTAGATAAAATAATATTTTCAAAATATTTCATATAATTAATCTAATAAAACTATTTTTGTATCAATATCTAATATTATTTGTATTTAATTTGAGGCCAAAGTTTATCAATTTTGATTGAAAGAAGTCAATTGGATATCATGTCATGGAGTATATCATTTGGATATAATATATTTAGTTTGATGTAGTTTTTACTTTTTAAATACATTTGGATGTAATTTTTATTGTAAAATATTGCGGAGTATATCATTTTTTATTTAAATGAGTTGAATCTAAAATTTCACTTATTTTGTGATAACTTATACGGAGTATATTGAATGTATGAAAGAGTACAAGTCCGTTTCAAATGTTCGTACTATACTTGGCAGTTTCACTTGTTTGTACCTCACCTTATTCACTTGCACATAGTATTGTAAATGAACTCAATCGAAGTAAATACTGAAATATTTGAATTTGTCGTATTTGTTTGATTTTTTAAACACAAATCCGAATTCAAATATCGAACGAATTAAAAATAAGATTTGTATTTGTATTTGATTAATATTCAAATAATTAATGAATATTCGAATAATCATATATACTCAATAATTTATATGACAATTTTGAATAATTTAACTTACAATAGAAGGTAAAAAAACTAAAGTACGAGTAAAATATTAAAAATATACTAAAATAGAAGTTCGATGTTTGTATTTCTGAAATAGGAGTTAGAATGCATTTAAATTATATTACAAATCATGACCATGTACATTACCAAAATGTATAGTAAAATGTACATGCATAGTGTCATGCCAACTCCTATCTAAAAATAAAAATATAAAACATCTATTTTCGTAATTTCTCTATGTTTTACTCCTATTTAGGGTGAATTCTTCTTAAAAAACATCCAAAATAGGAGTAATAAAACATAGATAAAGTATCAAAATAGGAGTTTTGCATTTTTATTTCCCAAATAGAAGATCCCACTCTGGTAATGTGGCATTGTATATGAACATTTTACAATACATTTTGGTCATACAGAGTAATTTATAATAATGCATCTTTATTATTTATTTTTGTTGAATCATACAGAGTAATTTATAATAATGCATCTTTATTGTTATATATATAAAGTTGCATTATTTGTTACGGAGTACTATTATATAAAAAAGATATTTATAATTTAAAAGTAGTACTTCCTCAATCCATCTGTTTCAAATCAAATTGCATGTTTGCTATTCACATGGTCAAATTTGATTACTCCTTTTTTTTCTTATCTTCATTAGTAACTTGATAAAAAAGTATAGTCATGTTACCATAATTTTTATATATATAAATTTTAGGCTATGGTGGACAAAGAGATTATTTGCCAATATATGTGACATTGGTAGGGGTGTTGTACATTTGGATTACACTTTGATGTACCCGGGTAAATTTAGTAAAACACAGTGATGACGTGGGTGATCACGTTTAAGGAGTATATGCAAAGTTCCAACTACTGATGACGCGTGTGATGTCGTTATACTAAGTTGGTAGTTTCCAAAGAGTGAAGACTTTATGGAAATTTGTTCGATCAAGATGGACTGGGCTTTGCACAGTTGGAAAGCCCAACTGTGATTTCAAAAATCGCCGCCCTCGATCTCTTTATCCAAAAAATGTTGCCCGTTGCTTAAAATTACCGTAACCAAAAATCAAAAAACTGAAACGAAACCGATCGAAATGAGCTAGAAAAAATTCAAATAAATAAACCATAATCGAATATAAAAAAATCCAAACCAAACTGTTATTGTTTAATTTCCATTTGGGTTTTCACTCCAGAAATATGAACTGAACCGTGTGTGTGTGTATGTATATGTATATGTGTGTGTGTGTGTGTGTATATATATATATATATATATATATATATCGTCAAATGAGAATGCAATCTAATGAAAGAAATAAGAATGTATCTCGTACATTAGATGTAGGATCCTAAGGGCTTTAAAAATTCCAAAAAAATCTGAAAAAACCGGTGGCATTATGGTAAATAAGTTGAAATTTACTCCGAGTGCCGAAAATGCACTACCACAATGTAAACATGCATCGTTATGGCATAAAAATGCACCATTCTCACGATAAGGTCTATACACGCAGTAAGAATCATTCTCACTTGAACATATATATATATATATACATACATACATACACATACATACATACATACATACATACATACATACATACATACATACATACATACATATATATATATATATATATATATATATATATATATATATATATATATATAAAAGAATGATCTTTACTACAATAAATGAGAATGCACAAAAAAGCTCGATTTATTTACAAAAATGCTATGGTGATTTTTTTCATTCTTTAGATTTTTTAATCTTTAATAACTCTTAAATCTTATCGTATGCATTCTCATTTCTTTCACAATGCATCATATGGATTGTATATTAATACGGTAAGGATCTTTTGACATTGAGTTTCAAACTCATACAATGACACATTTCAATTAGAGTGCATAATTAAAGTGATACGATCCAAAAACTTATGGTTCCTAGTTCTTAATAAGCCTCCATAAACTCCCAAGTCCATAGTGGACAAAATCTAATTTCTAATTTTATTAGTAAAATGTTGGAACCAAAACCTCAATCTTTATAGATTGGTAAGGTTCTACTTCGATTTCACCTAAGCTAGAGCTAGTTTTGGTTTCGAAACGTATATTTTAATAATATAAATATACCACGTGGTAGTACAATTAAACAAAAAAATAAGAGTAATGCTAGAGTCACAAACAAAATGCTCACAAAATACACAATCTTATTATTTATGTACTTTAGTTTTTATTTTTTAATTATTTGACACCATTATTTGAACCCATTACTTTACATATTTGGTAAGTTTGTAAATTTTGTTAATGTTTTGTTTGTGACTCTAGCATTATTAAAAAAATAATGAAGCCGGGAATCATAACTGGAACTGCCGATTTTATTTCGGAAATATAAGAACAAGAAACGCACACCTCATTTTTTTAAAATTCCAATTCGGACTTTCCAATCAATCATTCTCAATACGAGCTGTGTGCTTTTGATGTCATATGTGAAATTTCACAATTTTCATAAAGTTATATGTAGATTTTTTTTTCCAATAAATTTAGCTCCTTCACGATGTTTATTTATATATTAAAGTCCATAAAACAAATGTGGGCCTAAAAATTTGCCTTTCAATAGGATATTAGAATTGATACCAAATCGGAACCAAAAAGGGTATATAGTGTGAAAAGGTAAAACGAGTACCAGGTTAATAATGTTTTTTTCATTACCAACCCATTTTCCAAATTCAATTAGGAGAAAATGTTTTAAAAAGAGGAAAATCAGCGGAATTTGTACTTGAAAATTGAAATAGCCATCCAACTTTAGAAAAATAGAAAGAAAAAAATGATTTAGGAATATTCAAAAGGAAAAGTGTGTATACATAATTCAAAGACTGATTTGTTGGGATTTGGGTTGACGGAAATATGGGTGTAAACGGATATTAATCGGATCGAATGTGCCATTACCAAATCCGTATCTGTTTATTTTTGTCGGATATCGAATTCGGATAGAAATCTTGACGGATACTGAAAATTAAAACCGTATCCGCATTTGTCGGATATCGGATATATCCGTATCCGTTTCCAATTTTTAAAATCAAATTAAACAATACTTTAACTTTAAATTAGATTAAAGTCAAGCTATTATTAAATCAACTATAATTTGGTATGAGATAATTATTTTCTTTGTTTTCATGATTTATGATATTCTACGATAACTTCATATGATTAAAAGATATACACAACACACATATACACATATTTTTATGTGTCTACACATTTATTTTGTATATAAAAAATTCTTATATTTTGAAATATCAATAGAGAAACAAAATATAAACATAAAAAATTAGGAAAAACTATATATAACGGATCAGATATTTGGATAAACGGTTATTTAAACGGATGCATATTCGGATCGGATTTTAAACGGATCGGATACACAATTACCAAATCCGTATCCGTTTAGTAATCAGATATCCTTAATCGGATACGGATAATATCCGTTTAAAACGGATGCGGATATTTCCTCTTTGAACGGATTCAGATGCGGACGGTAATCGGATTTTCGGCTATCCGTTGACAGCCCTAGACGGAAACCTACAAAACAAAGTTTAGCTCAAGGGAAAGCTCCTACGTAGTTACTATTATCACACCCGTGCGTTGCACGGAACATATTTACATTACTAAGAGCATGTTCTTTAGGACTGGAAAAAAAGAGGTGGAAACTGGAAGAAACTGGAAGAAAAATTGGAAGGAACCAGAAGGAACTGGAAGAAACTGGAAAAATCAAAAAAAAGTTTTACAAATTTTTTATGTGTGGTTTTATATTATTCTCATTCTGAATCTTGTTGTTATAAATTATTATTATTATTATTGTTGTTGTTGTTGTTGTTGTTGTTGTTGTTGTTGTAGTTGTAGTAGTAGTTGTTGTTGTGGTTGTTGTTTGTAGTAGTGGTGTCATCACGTTATCTTAATGATTGCCTTTAA